AAGCCTCTCAGACTCTGACGCGCAGCAACAAATCCTAAGCGATGTGGTGTGGAACTATAAGGCTCTGAGTGAAAGGGGAAGTTTGCGTGTTGCGGCAGAAAATTGAAGCAGGTCAAAATGCATCAACACAACGAAGCTAATACGACATAAAAACAATGCCATACTTGACGGAGTTTGGCTACATCGAGGCTCACTGCAGTAAAAAAAGACATACGGATGATCAGATAGCAGGTAAAGCAGCGCACAGCAACAAACACTCACCCGTATGAGAGGCCCCATAGGCCAAAACCTACAAACTCTCTTACACGTACTACATGACGGTCAGAAAGCTAAACAAATAACCCGCAAAATCATTTAAGTCTTCGAGCTGCGATGTAAGACGCTGGTTCTGCTCTCCTGTTGAACCGCTGCTACGCTACAGGTAGTAATATCTGACAGACGGAGCTTCACTTCTGCTCCACCTGGTAGTGACTCTCACACCGAACCTGCTTAAAACTGCAGCATATAACTTAAAAAATAAATTTTACATACGTATTAAAACTTTAGTTGTCCTAACATGAGACAGATAATCTCTAAAAAAAATAATCGATCTCCTCCCTGTTCTGCATAATTACTCCGCTCAGTCAGAAACAGCCAATCAGAGCTAGCAGTAATCAGCTAGCCACCATGCTAACAGGAAGTTTTCATTCAGTTAATCTGGATTGTTTATTGTGATGGATCCTGTTTTTGCCTTTGAATGTTAAGTTTTATACTTGAATTTTTTTGGCAATGTTGAGAGGTTTTATTTTGGCTCTTTGCAACCAAGTTAGAGAAAGTTGAGTAAACCTCTCCTCATATATATGGCCTCTTGAAAAAGCTCAGCTAAACATCCTCCTCCAATAAAAGTCTCTATGTATCACTGTTTGCCAGATAATATGAGGATGCAGGGACCAAGTTGGGGGGGGGCTGATTATGGACAAGGAGATGTTGGGATAAAGAGCTGCAGGCGTTCTGCCAGGACTCTGGGGGAGAGACTAGCTGATCTTACGTAACGTTTTGTAAAGATCCCCATGTGAACAGCACTGTGTTCCAGTCACATTCCTGGAACGCAAAGAAACCAGACAGGAATACCGACACTCACTTTCCCATGAAGCACTTGGGCACAATGCTGAGCTTCTTGCGGCGGTCCTTGATCAGGTGCCTGTTCTTGGTCATCATCATGTGGTAGAGCTTCTCTCCTTTCTCAGCGATCATCACGTAGGCGTCCCGCTCCATACCCAACTTCAGACCTGGAAAACAAGCAAGAGGTGAGCCAGACCCAACAGGTTTTTCACATTTCACCCTCAGCCAGGGCCGAGGGGGTGGGGAGGATAACGCTGTATGGGCTGGAGTCGGTGTAAATATGGGGGAAAGATATGAACGAGCCAAGAACAACATCCAGGAGATCCAGATATCCAAACTTGATTTAAATGTATTAAAGGGAAAAGGCAAACACATGTCATGGTGTTGTTAGAGGACAATCAGGCCTTTTCCTCAGCAATCTGCCAGGTCCAGCAGAAACAAAGCAGGGTGGAAACCCCACCGGCTTCAGTGAGGCTCAGTGAGGTTCAGGAGATCATGGGGAAGATTCTGATCCAGCTTCCAGGTTTTCACTTGTTAGCCATTGTTCCTGCACTGTGCAGTGGAGTCCACTGTGGTCCCTTTGAAACACTGCAACTTCTGAAGGGCTTAGCTAGTGATGAACTTCTGAGCTGGACTCAGGGACTTTATGATTCAAGCAATTGAACTCAATTTCAATAGGACTTCATAATCTGCTTAACTCCTTCTAGCAACATATCAAGCTTCTCAACTCCAGACTACATAACTGCTGCTTACAACCAGGAATGGTTGGATACAGTTCATTAAATTATAACTTTATGCTCTGAAAGTTTACCAATTCTGACTGATATAAAATGTTAACGCTGTAGTTGCGTCACAGTGACCCTTCTCCATGGCATACACACACTTCTGCACTTCACTTGATATAATTATAATTAATGAATGTTCACAAAGCTTGTTAAGCTACTGAAAACAAACAATCCAACAATAACTCAGATCTCTCTTTAAGTTTAATTCAGTTGTATTTTATGTTAAATTGAAGAGCTGAAAGCAAAAAATAAATGTGTGTTTTAGTATGTGGGAAAAAGCTGAAATGCTGACCAATAATCTTTCTTATAAAAGTGACATTTTGATATTTGTTTTTCAGTAGGAAATAATTTCTACAGAGAAAAAGCTGCAACTTGGGGAAAGTTTGGAGAAATATACATAAATCTTTTTTAATTGTGAACTTTTCAGACAGTCAAAATTTCAACTCAAGCAGAAAAATATTTCTCACCAGGAAGAAATGGAAATCATGTTTTGGCAGGAAAAAGTAAAGATTGGAACAGACTACAAACCCGTGATCTGAGGACCTGTAATAGATGATGTGGAAGAAGTCGTGAACTTAAAGTCTACTTTGGGTCTGAAAGTTGAGGTAGGAGTCTGAAAGAAAAAATCCAATAAGCTACGGACCCTATTACCAACCTCCGCTGATGGAGGCGGGGTTATATTACATTTGGCGGCAGCTGGAGCGGACTTAAACAATAAGTGTCACTGAACAACGGGGCCTCTCCTGCTGCTCCAGCTGCCACAGCTTGTCTTAAGGTGCCCTCATCTTCCAGTGGGCGCAGGATAAAACCAGGAATACTTTCACTGAGCTGCTGTTCCTCACATTGACACACACGCTGATAAGACACAACACTCCCATCTGGCAACACTAAAGACCGTCAGATGAGCTCCATGTGTCAGGAGGAGACAAAAAAGGTTCCGATTTATCCTAAAATGTAACAGCACGTATAAAATTAAAGTGAAAACACTCAGTGCTAGCATTAAAAACTCATATTGTTACCATCCAGATAGGAGTAAAGAGTTAGGTACACTGATAGTAAAGTATGAAGTGGAAAGTGTAAGAGAGGAGCAGCAAGTGGAGAAACTGGGCAGTGTGACTGATCTGGCATCTGTTAGCCTCAGGTCGATTTCCGCCGCAGTGAAACTCAACACCATGAGCTGCAGCAGTCTCCAGACTTTATGAACTCCTTTCACTGGGATCAAACACTGCTACCGCCAACTATATGGAAATTTAGTTTAAAAATTTAAAAGTAAAACAAAACAAAAATAGTTAATTTCAGTGATGCCACCATTGGTATTAATGTTAGCATGAAGCTAGTTTATTCCCAACTAAACTGGAAGAGGAACAGAGCCCTTTGAATTCATTAGCTTTGATGATCCAGTTTTGATTTTTAGCATCAATGCTATCAAGTAGCCAAACGTTCTGGCACCAGCCGACACCCAGAACATAATCAAGACAGATGGCAGGACCAGAGCAGGTGGGAACTTAGTCTGAGGTAAAAGATGGAGGATAAAACAAGTAAAGGAGAAACAACGATATCAGCTTACACCACTGATCTCAGACCTGTAAAAATGACTTACAATCATGAAGATAAAGAATATTATAGGGGATTTTCTTCTTTCTTCTAATCTGTTTACAACTGGGAGCACAAGTTTAAATTTTATACAGACACAAAACTGAGCAGGTTCAAATCATATATATGTTTATCCAGTTGTTATCAAACTGCAGGTCATGTGATTTCTGGTAGACATGACCAACATCCTGGCATAATTTTGGCTCAATATCTGACCACTTTTCTTAACAAAAATGGAAGAATAAATAATTTTGTTTGGTTTCTTGGTATCAACCCAACAGTTTTTAATAAGACTTTAAGAAAGCCACACCAGTTTTCATGTGTGTTTGGGATCAGTGTCGTGTTGGAACACCAAACTATGTTCAACGCTCAACTGATTTAACTGGTTACAAGAAATCACCACAACTTAAGCATATCGCAAACTGGGAACTGTCTGAACACCAGCCTCAATAAAGCCAGTTTAACATCAGCATTAACTGAGCAGCTGGTTCTGACCAGGAGACGAACTACTCACAAATCAAAACCTTTAATCTTGACTGCCCACATCCACAAGCCAGATGCCTTGTAGAGTAAAGTTTCATGGTCAGATGGGAAGATAGAGCCGTTTGGCTGCAGCAAAAATATAAATGTTTAGAGTATTTAAAGTGAAGCTCACAGGCCAGATGGCACTGGACCAACTGTCAACTGGTTTCTTCATGCAGACAACATGTTTCAGTGCTGCTACAGCCAAATATTTTTATATAACCTCTACTTATCTGATCATACAGATCGGTAACTATAGAACTACGCCTACTGTCATTCTATTTCAGGTATTGGAGATGGGTTCTGTTTTTAGCATCTGTTTGTAAAAACGTGTCAGATAAAAAGAACAATGATCAGCTAGACATCTGCTTTTCCAAACATTTTGATTGTTGAATATTGATTTTTGCAGCCGCCTTTACAAGCTACCAATAACGGAGAACCAAGAAAACAAACAAAACAGAAATGTGACCCAAGCTTTCATTCTGTTAACCGTTTTAGGGATCTTGATTAAAGGCAGGACACAGCTAACGGACACCAAACCATGTGTTACAGCTCCAGTTTTAAAGTGACAGCAAAAATAATAAGTTTACTATTTGCACTGACAGGAGAAAAGAACTGATTTAAGAAAAAATGACCAGCAAATATTTGGCAATTAAACATTACAAATATATATATATATATATATATATATATA